GGTACAGTATTAACTCAGCCTCACATATCTCTTCCTGGAGAACAGAACGTTCAATACCTTATCCAGGCTGGATATGATGTCAGAAGCCTGATTCTTTGAGCCTTGCTCCCAAATGGATCAAGGAGTTTGGCTCAATGGCATATCAATAGCATAAAAAAACTTGGTGAACGACTGTAATTGAGAATATATATTAATAAAGCCTTTGCTGCATTAAAAAAAAAAGATTCAAGAACAGAATGACTCTGTTGAAAGCCAATAATTTACTAGTTACAAAGCCACGACATGTCTTCCTCAAAACAATTTATTTAGTGGACAACCAAAAAAATGCTATTTTTGAAGAATAACATTTTAGCTTTATTCCAAACTGCCTCCACTCTCCGCTGGCTGCCCAGAGCAATTTAAATTTTAGATTGTCTAAATAATGCAGCATGGAAACAATCTGAAACCACAACGGGTTTGCAAGTTGAAATGAACCAAAAAAGGATGTAACAGTACATATGGAAATTCTGTAGAAATGAATCCTACCACAAGTCACAACATATATATATATATATATATATATATATATATATATATATATAATGCTTTGAATTGCTTTATGTATTCCTGTCTGTAACTGCCAGCTGCTATTTCTAATCTCTGGTTTCCACCGCTTAAGATTTCCCTTTCGTTTCATACAAACGAAACTCATGCATGTAATAAATATGTTATCAACATTCTTCCATGCACCACAGTGTGCATAATCCTTTTTGATATATATTATGTGCGTGGTAGCAAAGTAATAGGACTGACTTTCTCTGAGGTCTGGATTAGGTCAGGTGAGATTCGGGAGATGACATTTAAAGCGAAAACAATAAAGTGTGAAGGGGTTATAAATGAAAGAGCTCCTTTGCCCTGCAGCTACCCCCAAGGCAAACAAATGAATAACTAATTCACTGTAACATCTTCATTCAATGTGCTCAGCTGTTGAATATGTAAGTTCTCAAAGCTGAGGTTAGTCAGACATCTAACACATGCTAATGAACCAACTAAGTTTGCTTCTGCGGGTGCTTCCCTCCCACCCCTTAAAAAGAAAAAAAAATCCCTTTATCTATGCAGAGCAGGTTAGAAACGCTCAAGCACAGCTGCAGGACTAAGCAACAGGAAAGCAAGTAAACAAAAATAGGATGGAAGGTAGGAAGGAGATGAGGTCCCACAGCAGAATGCTCTTGCCTTCCAGATAAAATAATTATCAAGTCTGCCACAGCACAGGAGGAAAAATTATTCACTCTCTTGCTCTCCGTCTCACAAGCACCATAAAATACAGAAACCAAAGAATAACAACACAACTGGTATCTCGGCTGCTTTAAAAATAATAATAATAATAATACTGTAGTGTATTTTCATCTCATTTGGGCTACATTAATCTGTTTTATGGTATTAAAAGTGCAATAAATGTTATTGTGTCTTCGTTACCAATCCCCCCACAATCTTAGACCCAGAACACAGCTCACCAGCTATGTTTGCCACCTCTCCCTGTATTTCTTTATCCTGCCAGGCAATAACAACAGGGCATTTTTTGAACCCTGGTGGACCTCAATGTATGGTCAGCGGTTGTGTTCAAACTGCACAGGCAGTATATTGTTGCAAGTGACATTCCAGAGTTCTGGGCTTTAACCCCGAGTTTGTTTTCCTTGGAATGAGGGACAGTGGAGACTGCAGTGTCTTCACAATATATGGTTTATTCACACATATCCAACCTGAGCCTATGATGGAGGGGCTCACACGAAGAGGGTCTTGCTTGCCTTGGATTCCTGCAGAAATCAGGCATGGCTTTGTCTTACTAGCTTCAGCCTGCAGCTTTGCTTCCAGCTTACACACACCTCTCCCAACTCTGGCCTTTGTCTTTCTCACTACCAGTGAGCTGAGAGAGGGGAGACCATCTGTTTGCCATCTGGCACAGAGCCACCTCAATGGCCCATACTTAGAGGACCATTATCTCAACAGGAAGCTAGCCTGGCTCTTTTACCAATTGAATCTGTGCTGGATCCAGGAATTAGTAGGGGGATCAGGCATACAGCCTGCCCCCCCCCAAACTCATAACAATATCCTATCCTCAGTATCAGCTCCTAAGATGCTCCACCAGTGGTTAGTGTTGTCCATCACCACTCTTTTCTTCTGCCATAAGGCATTTCTTATCCCCCGCAGAGGACCTTAAGGTCCATGAATAACCAAGTTTAGAGGTCCCGGGCCCTAAGGAAGTCAGACTATCCTCCACCAGAGCCAGGGCCTTTTCAGTGATGGCTCCGACCTGGTGGAATGCTCTGCCCCATGAGACTAGGGCCCTTCAGGATTTAACGTCCTTCTGTCGGGCCTGTAAGACAGAGCTATTCCACCTGGCCTTTAATTTGAATTCAGCCTGATCTTTTATTTCCCTTTTCTTCCCTCCCCACCCCTTTTATGAAGATTACCTGCTCTGAGACCCTACAGCTAATTCTCCCCTGGCCTCCTCGCTGGCCCAAGTAGGACTAATTCAGCCAGCTAGCCCTGGTAATTATCTAATGTTTATTTCCCCTAAATTGATTTCTGAACTTTGAATTTTATTGTTATTCATGTTTTTATACTGTATTTTATGCTGCTTTTGCAATTAAGTGTTTTAAATTTGTTGTTAGCCACCCTGAGCCTGGTTTTTGAACCAGGAAGGGCAGGGTATAAATAAAAAAATATTATTATTATTATTATTTATGTCTTTGATTTGGGGCAAGGGCCAGTGCTGCAAGCAGTCACAGGCACATTCTGAGCATTCTTGAAGCATTGCGAGTGTTTTCTTCGAATGGACACGGTGATCCAACCTTTTTCAGGGCAAGCAGTGAGATGCCTCTGCCTGTCTAAGTAGACACTTACTCACAAGGTTTGTATGGTTCACTCACCAAAACAGATACTTAGCAGGCCTGCACAGTTGGTGCCAATCAAGTTGAATGCACCCCATCAGTCATTTCTAGCTTGCAGTGCCCTTGATTTTGCAGGGGGGAAACCACATATTTTTGAGACCTTGGTGGGCTGCATTTTGCTTGCTGGATCACAACCTATGGAGTCCTGCCTTCAGGGGAATCAGGAAAGAGCCGTAACTTTTACTGCCCTTGCAGGAAACTGCTCTGAAATAGGCCACTGTGGTTTAAACATATGGGCTATCACTGATCTAGTGATGTATGGAAGTTAGTGACGTATGGAAGTGAGAGCTGGACCATAAAGAAGGCTGATCACCGAAGAATTGATGCTTTTGAATTATGGTGCTGGAGGAGACTCTTGAGAGTCCCATGGACTGCAAGAAAATTAAACCTCTCCATTCTGAAGGAAATCAGCCCTGAGTGCTCACTGGAAGGACAGATCGTGAAGCTGAGGCTCCAATACTTTGGCCACCTCATGAGAAGAGAAGACTCCCTGGAAAAGACTCTGATGTTGGGAAAGATGGAGGGCACAAGGAGAAGGGGACAACAGAGGACAAGATGGTTGGACAATTTTCTCGAAGCTACCAGCATGAGTTTGACCAAACTGCAGGAGGCAGTGGAAGACAGGAGTGCCTGGCGTGCTCTGGTCCATGGGGTCACGAAGAGTCGGACACGACTAAACAACAACAACAATCGCTGATCAGATAGCATGGGTTAAATTCCTAGATTTTACTAACCACTAAAAAACCCCCACCTTAAATGAAAGATATAGGTTGGAATCTCTAGGTTCTAATGCAACTGTACTTCCAAGATTCCCAGCATGTGCTGCCATCAAATAAAACTATATGGTAAGAGCATTATTATTCTGACCGGCACTTTTGAGAGAATAATAAAACAGACAGCAGAGTTAACTAGAAATTGCAAAAAGCAATTAATAAGTGGACTGAGCAAAATTTCATTTGGTTATTGCAAATTGTGTTTATGTGAATAGCCTAGCTGTGGCTGCAGTGTTATGATAAACTGTGGGCATTTAAGTAACAAAGTCTTTGGCAAAGGAGTGTTTGTTTCCTCACACTGGTAGTAGCACTGAATACTATTTAGAAGTTAACTTTATTATTAGAAGCAGATAATGAGAAAGAGGCAAAATTTCATTTGCCTAACTCAAAACATCCTTCTACATTGAGGTCCACTGAAAGCCTGCTGCACCGAGATAAAATATAGAGTAGGTTGATGAAAAAAAAAGTACACTGGGATCCTCATTATCAACATATATTTGTAAGTAATAATGTTAATACAGGTTGAATACTCAGGCAAGCAATAATATGTTCAGTGTACTGTAATGACTATGGGCTTGAGATTGCTAAACGTATCCACGTAACGTTTTTAATAAGGGACAAATCATTAAGAAAACCTGGAATAGTGCAGTACTTTAAAATGCATTTGGTTAATGCAATTGGTTCTGAAGACAGCATTTAACAGTTTTCTCATTGTAGATATCAAGTGTTTGTGTTAAGTCATCAACCCAGATCCGTTATCACAGATTGTCTTTTCACATCACATCCCAGCCTGCCTCCCTGTGTAAGGTAATAAGGCAATGTGATAACAAAGACCGATAGGCTCTTTGAAACATGATAACGGTATCACACCAGCCATGTCAACGAAACTTGCAGTTTATCACTAGGAAAACTGGAAAGTGCTATCACATGAACAGAGTTGTGTGAGCTCCAAGACTTTAATGTACATATTTAATCTCTCTCACACAGACATAACCCAGTGAAATAAATAGAAATTTTGGAGACATTCAAGGGAATCTCCCTGAAGGTTTCCATATATACCAAGGTGTGGAGCAAAGGAGAAAAGATTATGCATTAAAGACAAAGACCAGTTTCTGTAGTTTGGACGTTTTTTAATGCAGTGTAGCTCAAATAAAGGAGCTGAAATGAATGAAGAAACTATTATAGACATTTTGGGAAATGGCAGGACCCCCATCACATTTGAAAGTCAGTTTTATGGATAAACTACTCATGAAAGGTTAGCCAAATATAAATATAAGGAAATATAAAGTTGCCTTACCCTGGACCTCTCTTCCAGTTTGGTCATCATGACAACCGTTGCGCCCCTTTGTTCCCAGATCATTCTCCAGAAATCTCCAAAAGTTTCAGGAAGAGCTCCTTGTGTTGCTATATAGGCATTCTGTTTTCTGTAGCCGTCTATGTAGTTAGCATTTATATAATCACTCCCTGGTATGCCTAGAAAGCAAAATGTGACCATGGCCTTGAGAGTTCACATTGTTTAATTTCAATTTTTTTGATTAAGAAACAAAATGACATTTCAGAACTTTCCAACTTTTTAATACATCTTTCTTTGTTTTTCTTAGTATCTTAAGATGCTTGTTCTTTGCATTTACCATGGAACATTTACCTATTTCACTCTAGAAGATTGCCATGTAATCCCTGATGAATCAAATAAATTATAACTGTCTTTGCATCTGCTAAATTATCTTTCATTATAATGCAGTTTATTGCATTCATCAGTCCTGTGTGATCCACAAAATCTGGCTTTGAAATTAAACATATTACCGCATTTACTCAGGTCTAATGCACCATCGAATCTATTGCATACCTCAATTTTCAGAACCTTGAAACCAAAAAAAGTATTTGCTGGCAAATGTAAATGTGCCATCGAATCTAATGTGAACCTGAATTTTCGCAACGTTATTTGGTTAAAAAAAGGTGAGCATTAGATTCGAGTAAATATGGTATCTTAAGCTCTAGTTCCAACCAACTTTTCCACAAAATCAAATTATCACCTAACCAAGGTTTCCTAACAGTCCATCTCTTTTCCTTTTTTGTGCTGCTCACTAGAACTATGTCCAAAGAACTTTCTGTTAAAATCAATGAAGAAATTAACTATTTTACCTTAAAGAATTGGGAAAGCTCTTCTGTCACCGCTCTATTATTATTATTTAAAATTTTATATTAAGAAGTGACCAACACCATTGCCTTAAAAATATTAGCAATATGTCAAAATCTGGACCTGGGTTGCTGCTGTAAAAATACTTTCTTCCATTCTTGATAAGTTTGATTTTGGCTCCAGCTGTTTCTCAATCTATTGTCTTTCTTACGCATAACCTGTTGTGATATTATAACTCCCCCTCCATAAAAAAAAATCAAAATCCTAAGTGTCACAGTGTCATTAAAGCTCTCTATTCAAAGAATGGCATTATAACATTGCCACTTGTCATCCAGCACGTGCAATTTTAAAAAAACAAACAAATCCCAAGGCTTTTCACATTATTAAGCAGAGATGTGATTTTATGAAAAGTTCTGCTACACCAATGGAAGGTCCAACTAGTCTGGCAAACTGATGGCTATCAAGAAATTTCTGGCATCATCGAAGCATGGCATGAAGGCAAAAAACCTTTTTTATTTGTCCTGGTTATTTTAACTGGAGACATTAAACCTTTATGGGAGAAATCAAGGGGAAAACAGGATCATAAGAGGGGAAGAGGAAGGAAGGCAAAACAGCTTTGAGGTCTTTTCTACAATCAAACAGTATAAACATTTTACGAAATAAAGAAAGAAAATGTGTGTCCCTACTCTGAACATTGATAACCTCATTGACAGAGGTTGAGAGAACTGGAATAAATCTGAAGAGTGCACCATTTTTTAATCTCCCCCCCCCACCTTATGTTATGATGCTTCACTAGTAAGTTGCACAAGTTTGGCCTCTATTGCTGTCCCACCATGGGCCATTGGTTGGCTCAACAAATGAACTGTTCAAAATAAATCAAAGACCTGAAAGCACATTGGCATAGCTGTCAACTTACTGATTTGAAAATAAGAGACCAGCAGCCTCGGAAATAAGGGATCAGCAGCCAAAATAAGGGATTTTCCAGGCACAGGTATGTGCCAAAGGCAGAAAGCCCAGCCAGCAGCCAAACAAAGCCTCAAGCGGTGGTTCTCACAGTGCAGCAACCCGGCAAAGGGGATGCAGCAAGGAAAACCACTGTCACCTCTCCACTGGGAAGCGCTGAGCAAAGGCGAGTCCCCAGGCAATGCAGCCGATTTGATCAGCACAAGGCATGCAAGCTCCACCCCCCTGTCGTTCTTAGACTTCTTATTGGGTGAGCAACACAGCCAAGCAACACAGTTGGAGCCTCCCGGCAGGGAGGGAGGGAGAGGAGCTGCTTTCTTTGAAACCCGGGAAATTTAAGGGACATCATCAATAAGGGACAGCAGCGGGACATGGCGCTGGGATAAGGGACTGTCCCGCCAAATATGGGACGCTTGACAGCTATGCACATTGGACTTCATTTCTCACAAGAAAAAGCCATTGCGCTTCAGTTTGTGTGGCTGTCAGTAGCCTGCTTACCTGCAGGCATGCACACACAGCAGGGGTGAGAGAAGACCGGGGTCTGAGCGAATCGGTGGCCCCAATGAGCGAGCAATGAGCAAAGAAACAGGTGATCCAGTGAAAGCAGGTGGTCAGGAAGTAGGGCAGCTAGGCCTTCACAAACTCCTTACCACCCAGGGGTGCCAACTTGAATAAAATAGGGGGGGGCAGGTTGGCTCCACCCCATATAATGGATCACAAGATGCGGTACATGCACACCATTTGAATAGCAGTGCCCATCAACCTCAAATATTTTATGGGGAGGGGGTGTCGGATGGACCTCAGCTCCTAGGACAGGCATAGGTAAACTCAGCCCTCCAGATGTTTTGGGACTACAATTCCCATCATCCCTGGTCCTGTTAGCAAGGGATCATGGGAGTTGTAGTCCCAAAACATCTGGAGGGCTGAGTTTGCCTATGCCTGTCCTAGGAGATTCCAGGGGATTTCACTCACCTGAGTGTTAAATCAAACAGCGTCCTCGATTACCTGCTGGTCTCCAGTGATCTACTTAAGTGTATTTCCACCTTTAAGATCGAGAATGTACAATCTAGTGATCATCTTCCCCTTGTAGCCAAGCTTTCCCTGAATTGGCAGTCGGAGGCCTATAGACATGCGACCCAGATGGTAATCAACGTATCTCTCCAAGTAAGAGGAATCAAATGGTCGGAGACCCAGGCTCAAAGGTATCAGGAATTCTTTCAAAAAGAAATCCTCGGGCCCCATCCCTACATAGGCTCTGCCTCAGACGAGCACAACATAGTGTTGAAACGCTTCCACCATCTTACGACTGATCTTACGTCCTTCTTCAGGCTACCACCCAAAATATTAAATCGAAACGAGCATACTTAGGGTGCCCCCTGGTATAACTCTCAGTGCAAACAAGCAAGACAGCGCCTTCGTGCTATATACAATGTATATAAGACCTCCGATGCATCCACTCTGCCAGCTAGTTATGCACAAGCCAAGCAAGTTTACAAACGCACGCAGAAAATTGCCAAACGTGAGTGGCAACATAATCGCTGGCAGGCCTTGATTACTGCTTCAAAATCACATAGATCCAGGGAATTCTGGTCTCTGATTAACAGAAGGGTGAGGAAATACCCAAGGGCAGTCATCCCTGCACCGACATGGGAATTGTTCCTGAAGAAATGTTTCTCACAGGCAGATGCTCCCGCCGACCATCTGGTGCATCTGTTTTCCCACCTACCTATCTGTTTTCCCCACCGATCCTGACGAAATAGCCAAGCTAATAGCCCAGCTGAAATCGGGCAAAGCCCCAGGGCCCGACCTGATCCCTGCTGAAGCCATCAAACTACACCCAAAATGGTGGGCTGGCATCTTGGCCAAAACCTTCGACGCAATCAACGCTTCTGGTCTCATCCCCAAAATATGGAAGGAGGCCATTATAGTACCAATCCATAAAAAAGGTTCTCCAATGGAGCCGGAAAATTACCGTAACATCAGTCTCCTTTCGATCATAGGGAAAATTTATGCCAGCTTTTTGCTGACGAAACTATTGCGATGGGTAGATGAGACCAACCAGATTGGCCACGAACAAGCAGGGTTCAGAACTAAACGCTCTACAACTGATCATGCGATAGTTCTTTACCACCTGGCACGGAAGTACTCCTCCCCTCCCCGGGGCTACCTGTGTGCTGCCTTCTTAGATCTTAAGGCAGCCTTTGACAGCGTTCCTAGAAATATTCTTTGGGAGAAACTTGCGAAACAGGGCATCGATAGAAGACTCCTATGGCTTATAAGTCAGCTCCACGAAGGTACCCTTGCCAGAGTGAGACTTACTCCTGCGGGCGACCTCACAAATTCGATACCAATAAACAAGGGAGTGCGCCAAGGATGTATATTGGCTCCCTGCCTATTCAATCTATTCATCAGCGACATGCGAGCACCCCTAGTCAACTCATCTCCAAGTACACATGCGCCTAGACTAGCGGATTACCGCTGTCCACTCCTTTTATATGCGGACGACGCGGTAATTCTATCTTATACACGTGTTGGACTAACCAGAGCTCTGAAGATCTTTGCCACGTATTGTCAACTCAATCAATTAACCATCAATCATGCCAAATCTAAGATTCTGATTTTCGCCAGAAGTCGGAGATTATACGAATGGAAGCTTGGTGGAGCAAAAATAGAGCAAGTCCTAAAATTTCAATACCTAGGAGTTATTTTTCAATACAATTTGGGGTGGAAAGCACATATTCAACACCTACTTAACAAGGCCAAAACTCTGTCATATGCGCTCCTCCGATTTTTCTTTTCGGATGGAGCTTTGCATGTTCCCTCGGCCCTAAAGGTGTTCAAGGCAAAAGTGGTTCCCGTGCTTGCTTATGCTGCCCCGCTCTGGGCCGTGATGACAGACCTTGCTCCTCTTGAGACTCTGCAAAACCAATTCCTACGTCGGCTCCTAATGCTCCCCCTGTGCGTAAGCAACGCAGCCATGCGACTAGAATTGAAGATTGCATCCTTAGAAACTTGCCTGTGGAAGCAAGTCTTCAATTATTGGTTATCATTGTGGCATAGATTACCAGACCATTACCTTGTCCAATGCTTATGGCGAGATGAATTCTCCAGCCTTTGGACTAGTAGAATTCATGCCAAACTCCTGAGTTATGGAATCTCTCCCTTAGATTCCCTAAAACTAGATCAAATCACTGCTCAAAGACTGATCCGCCAAAGACTGGATGACATCGATTTACAGCGAAATTATACGCTAGGGGGAGGTGTTTGTTCGCCCCAGAACATTGGTATCACTTTAACTTACTGCGTTCCATCATACCTCTCCTCCCTTTCGACTGTTGCCCATAGGCTGGCCTTCACCAAAGCGAGGTTTAAC